AGTTATCAATTAAAGTACCTTGCCTTTATGTTGGAACACTCATGAGATTTTCACTAAAGAAAACAAATGATGTTTTTTAAGTTTGTTTTTGATTGTTTTATATTTTGAAACTTACTCCTTTTTTGTTTGTAATTTTTATTGGTTAAATCTGAGATATATCATTTTTGTGGAAATTTCAATTGTTTTAATTACTGCTCAACTGTAAAAATACTGCCTAGTTATAAAAATATTACCCAGTTATGATTGATGATGACGGTAGTTTCCGAGATCCAAGTTTCGGACACATACATTGCAAGCTCCATTATAATAACATATATAAATTGAGTTGGTGAGATGGTACTACATTGATTTGTAAAGTTATTCAGATGTAATTATTTCGCAGTATCTTTGCTTTATGTATCTTGCGAGTCAAAAGAGAATATCCAGGGGCCAAAAATTGTCCTTAGTGCTGAAAATTTTCTGAACTCAGTGTTAAGTGCAAACTATTAAATTTAGTTAGTTAATGGCTACATGTTCAAAGTTAATTTATTAGAAATTTATTTGCCATGTATGTCTCTAAGTGCTTTTCATGATTTTTTAATAAACAGTGCATTTGTTATTTTGTTTTTTGCAAGTTGTAATATAATTTAAAGTATGTGGTTTTTTTCTAACAAATTATTATAATTATATATTTTACTGTCAGTGGCCCTCTTGTAGTAGTGTATTTCAAGTGTTAGGTAATGACTTTTATGTAGAAATGTCTGTGATCATAGATTTTAATTTAACTGTTTCATTGGTTCTGTTAATAAGTGGAAATGTAAGATGAACCTTAGCTTTATTTTCATTAACAGTTATTGTTTAAGGTGTATGTTTGTCTACATTGCTTATCAAACTTAATACCATCTGCATTTATGCATAACATTTTTTAACTGATCATCCTCATAAGCTGATATAAACCTTTGAGACCTAAATTATGATGAAGATCTAGAACAAAAGTTATCCTTCAGGCCACATCAGATACTTCAAAACCCGATTTTGGCCTGCACTATTGTCAGATTTTGCCAAAGTAAGCAAAAATGATCTATTCCCCAGTAAGTTCTGGCCCACTCCTTGGCTTCATGTTCATCATCTGAAGTGGCCCAGAAAGTTGGAGACCATTGATATAGGAGGACTTGTGTTTGTTCTGTGTTTACATCCATGATTATGGGGTTGATTTGTAATCTTTTCTATAAAAATATGGATTATTTGACACGTTGCAACCTTGAGAAACATTTCTGTCATTTTGAACTCGGTTGTTAACCGCAAGGGGGGGTAATTTGTAGCTATCATTTGTCATCCAGCAGTGAGTCTTGAAAACTATCATGTTGCTGGTTATTATTTTCTATCCTGTAAATCTTTACTTGGGGAAAATTCATTTTATGTACATTTAGGCGTACATGATCTGTGACGTAATGCTGTTGTGATTCTTGAAATAAACTTTCAACTGATTAAAGAAATATATCAGTTGAGAGAACCATAAATATAAAACATTTGCATCCAAACATTACTTAATCATTTTTGTTCAGCCTAAACAAGTCCCATTGGTTGCTCAGCTTAAATGTTTTATATCCCGTTATTATGTAAATACTATTTTTTAAGGTATTTTATGTTAAACTAAGGTATATCATTGTTTGTGCTCATTTATTGTTTATACTGAAACTATATGATAAAAGGGGAAAAGGAATCTTGTTGTTTTTTGGTGGTTTGTCACTTTTAAAACTGGTAACCCTAATGCTTTCTGACACTTGTAGTATTTCTTTGCTGTACAGTATGGTAGTACCTTTTTTTGTTGTGTAGATAGAATTAAAATTGAATGTGCAGGGAAAACTTTTTCATTGTATAAATGTGAAATTGAGTATCTGGAGATCATGTAAGTGTGAAAATTGTAGTTATTTGAAAATTTATCTAAACTCGAAACTTTCGAAGGCTTTTGTAAATATTTACAAAAATGCTATGAAAGCCTAATGTACTTAATCTTATGTAATATTGATATGTATTTGTTCAAAAGGAAGTTGAAACTACTGCACAAATGTAAAATTATCAAAACACATACATTTTGAAATGCTTGAATCCCAGTTAATGCAAACTACAGGTTAAAATATTCAAGATAAATAAATATCATAAAGACGCTATGAACATTTTAATTTGCTGGTATTTAATTCAATTTAAGATTTATTTTAAATGATGATTTCTTTTGTATTTTTTTAAGATTGATATGAACAGATTTCACGTAGTTTGATGTGAACTGGTTACCTGGTGAAAAGTTTTAAGGATTACAAGAAATAAAAGTGTCATGGCGGATCTTCAACGTTACCCAAAATCATCTGGAACTCTCCTGGCAGGAAGTATTTTAGGATTCACTGCAGGAGTCCTACTTCTCATTTCATTTGCGAGTCCCTATTGGCTAGAGTCGTATCCAGAGACATTCTCAGAATTTGTACGTTTAGGACTGTGGGATGTTTGTTTTCATAATTATCGTCATCCTTCCTATCAGTATGATGAAAAGTTTGATGGTTGTTACTGGATCTTCAGCTACAAGTATCAAAACATTAGAGACTGGTTACAGCCAGGTAGTTCATATTTTTCTTTAATTTTGAGTTATGTATTTACTTGTACAGTTTAATAAAGGTTTTGAAACCTTGCATATTAAAATACAATTTCTGAAAATTAAATGTTTATAAGATGAAACAAAGGATAAGGAAATAATAGTTTCGTACATAAACAATACAAGTTATTATATATGTATATATAATACTGTATTTGAGTATGTTTAATACATACAGGAAAATTCAGAAACTGACTATATACATAAGTAGCTGGCATAACCATAAAGGATGACTTTCGATCTTTCATAAACTATAGTCATATAATATTTCATACCTAACTCACAGAATATGGTGGTTGCTTTGTTCATAATACTTGATTGTGTTGGCAGTTTGTTCCATCATTTGGTTGGAATTTGTAAATAACTATATTTCTATAAAAAGTGTTACCAAAGCAGCCATATTAATCCTTGTATTTGTGTAAATATATTCCATATTGAATGCTATTTTATTTTTCTGAAATATTTGCTTTTAGCACTGTTTTTCTAACTCATTTCGAACAATTTTGGGAAAATCAATTTTTAGGATGGATGATCCTCGTACAAGCCTTGATGACTATAGCTTTATTGTTCTCCTTGAAGGCACTTTTTATCATAAGCATGGTGCTTATGAGGTTTGTTATGAAACTCGAAGTCTTTATGCTGGCAGTTTCTGCTCTACTGCAAGGAATTACAGGTAACTGAACTATCACCTATCAACAATTATTCCTTTGATATAAGTTTATCTTATATATATGTAATCCCACATGCATTTTCATCTTGAAATCAACTTTGGATGCTGGGTTTACCCATCCCAATTCTTGGTGTGACATATGGTTTCTGGTTATATAGTAGAGATTTCAGTGTATCAGAGATAACATTTTGTTGTAGAAACATGTTTATACACACACACACACACACACATATATATACATACACACACACATATATATATATATATATGTATGTATGTGTGTGTGTGAGGGGAGTGTATGTAGAAGGAATAATAAAATAAATTGTTACGTAGAAAAAAAAAGTTTCCTTGCGGACTTACAATGCTAAAATTTGGGGTTTGATTCTTTGCAATTGACACAGCAGATATCCCAATGTGGTTTTGTTCCAAAATAAACAAGCATAGAAAAATCTGTAAGTTACCTTGTAAACTATATATATATATATATTAATAGTGCAATATGTTTCTGAAATAATACTCACATATACAACAAACATTCTTCCTCATCTTACAGTTTTAGAGGCTGTTGTGCTTACAAATAGAATGGTGATGGTTTGTAATTATTTGTTTGTGGTTTTGTGTCACAGTAAGTGATCTTCACAAGAAGATAAAAACTTGTGTTTACCTCTAATAGATAATGTCTGGTTTTGGTTCTCAAAGTAAATTACTTGATATAGGGCAACAAAATCTAACTTTGGCAGTTAAAATTGAAATTAGCAGTAGCTTCATTGTGATTATTTCTGTATAACTATTCTAATTTCCAGAACAACTTATGTGAAGATAATTCAGTGAAAAGTTACATCTGCATTACTCGTACTTCTAAAGGAGTCTACCTTTTAACCCTAACATAGATCAAGTTCTCATAGTGAACATGAAATTACCACCACCTTCTGATACTAATATAGATCAAGTTCTCATAGTGAACATGAAATTACCACCACCTTTTAACCCTAACATAGATCAAGTTCTCATAGCGAACATGAAATTAACACCACCTTCTAATACTAACATAGATCAAGTTCTCGTAGTGAACATGAAATTACCACCACCTTCTAATACTAACATAGATCAAGTTCTCATAGTGAACATGGAATTACCACCACCTTCTAACACTAACACAGATCAAGTTCTCATAGTGAACATGAAATTACCACCACCTTCTAACACTAACATAGATTATGTTCTCATAGTGAACATGAAATTACCACCACCTTCTGATACTAACATAGATCAAGTTCTCATAGTGAACATGAATTTACCACCACCTTCTAATACTAACATAGATCAAGTTGTCGTAGTGAACATGAAATTAACATCACCTTCTAATACTAACATAGATCAAGATCTTGTAATGAACATGGATTTACCACCACCTTCTAATACTAACACAGATCCAGTTCTTGTAATGAACATGGAATTATCAACACCTTCTAACATTAACATAGATCAAATTTTCATAGTGAACATGAAATTACCACCATTTTTATTTCAAATTAAAATTATTAATGTTTACATTATTTTGGTTTAAAGGAGAAATAAAAGCAAATTCAGTGTTTTTACTGTTTGTAATGTCATACAGTGGTTAACAGCACAATAGAAATCTTTCATTGAAGGAACTTCATTTTTTGTTCAAAGAAAGATCGTGATCTAAGAAATTTAAAATAAAGACACTTGAATCAAATTCAGTTGGCTGTACCCTTGATAACTGCAATTTAAATTTTACTAACTGACTTACAGAATATATTAACAGTATTATTGCAAACGTTTCTTGTTTTGTCTTAAAAATATGATCTATAGGGAAAGTAAAAAAATGGAATTATATTCTCTTTTAGTCCAAAGTATTACAGATTAAATTTTTGCATAGATTAATTTTTTTGCTTTTGATTAACTAATAAAACATTGTTCTGGTGTAAAATTAGATTATTCACTCAATTTTAGTTGTACGTTCAGTAATTAGGAGAAAAGATTCTGCTCTGATTCTGACAATTCCTAAGTTTGTGGATATTCATGCGAGTTCTTTAGTGTGAATAACTCCTCTTTTCTCATTGAATTTTGGCTCAAAACTGACCACTTTTGTTTATCAAAATGTTGATTTTGTTACCTTCAAAAAGACCCTCTTAAAAAATGCTAACATTTAAAGAAAAGACTTCACCTACTATGATTGCGGCTCTGTCTTCTATTTCTGTTTACGCTTATCGATTACATATTATCCTATAAATTTAACTACCCAAAGGATAATGCATTTGAGGATTCTCATGTACAGAGAAATTGACTGGACATAGAAATTTACTTCTGTTGGTAAAGTAACACTCAACAAAGGTTTATACATCTACGCTGAATTACAAATGACTTTTTATATAAATTGATTGACCCACAAAAGTGACAGGCAATATTAGTAACATAGATAAGCAAAAAAAACCTGATGTTGACATTGTTTTGATTATTTATTAGTTCGTACTTGTTTTAGTTGAAGTTAAAAATACTAGTGACTTGGAATAGTAATCATTAATATTGGCTAATATCACACCTTAAGTGTATTATGCCTAGAAATTTAACACTTCTAAACAGAAACTCATAGTAGCAAGAGAAAAAATTTAACGCAAGATTTGCCATTGGGTAGCTACAATATGGATACCCCCTTTTCACAATTCCGTGATTTCCCCCCAGTGGGACAGTGGTAAAGTCTATGGTTTTACAACTCCGACATCAGGGGGTTTGAATCCCCCTCGGTAGACATGGCAGATAGCCCGATGTGGCTCTGTTATAAAACACTCACACACACACACACACACACACACATTTCATGAGTTCGATGTTGAAACAAATTGCCCTTCTTCTGATTTTGTGGAAGTACAAAGTTAGCAACATGTATCCCTTTTTTCTGCAAACTTTAGGATGTTTAAGTATACTCACTGACTTGGAGAGTGCCAGTTCTGAGGCTCGTGCAGCGAAACATCAAGATGAATCAGTCGATAGTTAAAAACATAGTTAGAATTATATAGAAATACAGCACTCAGTAGTGAATATAGACCAGCATTACCAAGTATCGTATAAATATTAAAGTTTTTTACATTTTCTTTGGTTACACATTATAGTGTTGCAATGCTTAAGATAGGTATAAAAGCTTATATAATGGTATGTTTTCATTGTGACAAATTTTCAGAATTTTTATCTGTGATAAGTTACTTTAAAGACTTTATTTTACTGGTTTTTCTGGTCATGATGAGAAATTTAAATCGTGATACCTTATTAATCAAATTATATTATATATATATATATATATATACGTATTTTGTTTTTTTTTAGCACTACTGATATTTCTGGCTGTTGCTATATTTGGAGGAATGTGTTTCGACCGAACTTGGATTCTGTATCCGATATTCAATCATCTCTCTTGGGCTTATGGTTTAGCAGTGATCGCATTCTTTTTTCATGTCTTTGCTGCAGCATGCTTGTTATCGGAAACATTTAAGGCAAAAGAGAGACGGCAACGAGCCAATAACCTTATCTACAACATGCAGCCAAGGTATTGAGTTGTTGGATTTTTTTTTTTGGTTTGGCCTCACAGTTTATAGTGTTGCACACAAGAGAGGTGATATTTTTTTTTACGTTTCTTTCCTCTTTATTTTCTTTCAACCAACAGGGTGGTTTGGGAATTAAAGTAATACAAAAAATGAAAAGCTCTGGAGAGATACTTGGAACATTAAAAAGACTTTGTTGAGTTAGAAATTGTATATATATATATCCAGACATAAATTGGGAATTTTGATAACTGTCAGTGTGATAGTAGACACTTTCTTAGTGTTGGTTAAAGATTATAATGATTATGTGAAGTTTCACAATATGTCCATCTGTTTGGAGGTTGTGTTTCAGTTGGAAAAAGTTTCTGGTGAACCTCTGCACTAGTAAATCAAAAGGTTGTCTTGACAAACACTAAAATGTTAATATTCAGTAAAAACTCTCAGTTACAGTTCTTTGCGTAACCCTATTTTTATGTGTATAATGACATATTGTTGTAAAATTTAACTTTTTAATATGTACAATATTTAGTATAATTCAGTATAAATAAACAAGAATAAAGCATAATATTCTTCGTGAAGAATATTGAAGCTTTTGGAAATTGGTATAAGTTTTGAATTTTTTTGTTCTCATTGCGATGTAATTGCCTATAACTCATCTTTGAGAAGTTATAAGCTAGTGATCTAAACATGTAATGAAATAATTTTTTTTTTCTGTTTTGTTTAACCTTATAAGAAGCAAAATGGCTTCCATTTCAGCATAGATTTGCCTAGAGATCAGAAGAAAGTAATAACAGCTCGGTTTAGTGATATGTTTGTAGAAGAAAATACGTTTCTATTTGACTTTTATCGCAATTACAGTCTTGACTTTTTTTTCAGGCTTGTAAAAGAGATTTAGCATTTTATACTTCATTTGAATTATGATGTTGCAATGAAATGTTTTTCATGGAACGAGGTCAAGGAAGCTTAATTAAATAATTTTGCACTCAACCATATGAAGTTTTGTTTCATTGACAAGGACACTTTGTTAGGCCTTGTTTACATTAGACCCTCTTGGGCTAAGTAATTACTTGGATACACAGAGAAAATAACCACAAAAACATTTTTTTATATATATGCATATAAATGAATATAAAATAGATTTAGATCTTGTACAAACATATATTAAATGAAACCCTTTGATAGACAATTTCAAAAAAGCTGGCTTGCTTATAATTTTGGTATGGTAAAAAGTTATTTTTATTGTATTCCTTTGATTGTGAACACGGTGAATCTGCATGCAGTGTTTTTCAAAATCAAAAGAAAAACGTGGTAAAGTTTTACAAGCATGTAGAAACACACAAAATTAATAATTAAACTTAACAATGAAGGGAAGTATTTTTAATTGTTTCTTAAAAAAATGTATCATAATGAAATGTTTTTGAATCTCCAAAGCCGAGAATTCACATAAATGTCACATGAAACATTAGATATTTTATTTTATAGAAGTTGCATAATATTTAAAAAATTCTTTCGAAGTTTCAAACTGTTTCATATAGTAGTTTTCCTTTGCAATACAATGAAACAAACCATACAACAGATGTATTGAACTGGTGCATCTGGACACTCGAGAGTTAACGGGAAGAAACTACCGTTCCTTCTAATCAAAGATAAGGCTTTGCTATGATGTTTTACCTCAATAACGATAGAGAGGAAACTTGTCACCAAATAAGCATTATGGAAATTTATATTATAATTTGTTATAGACATAAAAATTGGTTTGCAGCTGCTACTAATTTTACTTTATATGCAGCTGATTTCAAGATTTGAACCAGTAGTTACATTTAATTGAACAGAAGGATGGGAAAACTGAGAAGTAAATTTCAGATTTTTTTATATATTTTTACTCAAGCAGGAAAATGGGTAGTGTCAATCCATCTGTAAATCCAGAACCTTCTACTTCTACAGATCAACGCACTAAGTACTAACCACCAACTGACAATTGCCAGTATGTTCTTTTAAATATATCTTGGAAGTGAGCATATGTGTGTGGTGTCTGTCTCTGTGCATATTCTCTAAATTCTTAAATACACCTTGCATGAATTGCATGTCAATCCACTTGTCTGTCTGTGACTAATGATTATCACAACAATCAATTTTGTATTTATTTTTTCATAATTTAGGTGAAATATTTTTTTAAGTAAGATGTTTTTATTTGTTCTTTGTGTTCGGCTAAACAAATTACCTGTTAGGATTTGTTTGTGCCGTCACTGACCAAACCAATTAAATATGTTCAAGGTCCAGTTGAGAATAAAACCGAACAATTAAATTAACATACTAGACTTTTTATTCCTGTAGTTAACAAGAATCTAAAAAATTTCAAGTTTTCAAAGTGAGGTCTGCAGTGTAAGAAACTAAAACTTAGAAATACTATAAAGCTATTATTAGCAAGTGGCATGTAACTAATTTCTGTCAAGTTATTTAACATTTTCAGTTCAAAATTGTGTTAATCCTTTTAAACTTATGGCCAGGTAGTTAGGGCATTTAACCCGCAATCTGTGGGTCACAGGTTCGAATCCCAGTCATTAAACATACTCGTTCTTTCAGCTGTGGGAGGCATTATAATGTGATGATTAATCCCACTCTTTATTGGTAAAAGAGTAGCCCAAGAGTTTGTGGTGGGTGGTGTTTACTAGCTGCCTTCTCTCTAGTCTATAGCTGCTAAATTAGGGACTTCCAGGATGGATAGCCCTTGAGTAGCTTTGTGCAAAAGCTATTCAAGGCCAAACCGTTTGCAATTTGAAGGGTCCAGGAACAAATGGTGAAAAACCAGTTATGCTCAGTGAGTGCTAACTTGCCCCCCCTAAAAAAATAATAAAGAAAGTTTAATGTAGCTAGTTTTTGTTTTTTACAGTAAAATAAACTGTTAAGATCACATCTGAGGGTTCTTTACAGGGTTTTTGGAAGGGAGGTAATGCAAACTTCATCCAATGGTAGCATTCCTGCTCTATTTCACTTTTGGATGGCTTAGTGAAGATTTTCAAAATTGAAATGATTTCTTATTGTATATATTAAATAGTTTTCAGTGATGGTACTGCATTTTGTGAGAGAAATACCTCATTATCAATCAGAAAGTTCCCTCTTGTGTCAATTTTTAGAATACTTATAAATGTTAGTTTGAAGAATTTGGAAGAGTTGTGATAAACATGTTTTTGCAAATGTGATAATTTTCTTGACTAACAGTTCTAAATCTCAGCTTTATAATGCATGAAGGCACGGCACTATGGGTTTCACATTATGTGCTCATCTGAATGACGAAAAGTTAATTTCGATTTTGTGTGCTTTATTCTAAAAATTACTTAGTTTGATTGAACAACTTGCAAAGTAAGGAATTTTGTCATTGTTCAAATCAAAGTTTCACTATTACAGCAGGTATTATATGTGAATATTGGTTTTTCTTTTATCAAAAAAGGCTAAATTTAAAGGTAAGAGAAAAATAACAAAATCTCACTGTAACATAACTTCAAATGCATGAAGCTAGCTGACAAATTCTGTGGCAAATTATTCCTTAGCTACCAAGTTGTATGAGCTGAATAAAGAAACATTTTTTCTCTTTAAAGGGGAGTCGTCGTTGGCCATGATTCTTCTTCCAAAACAAAAGGATTCTGAAGTGTGTCATCATTTTGGGATGTTTTTCTGTTTTCTTTGTCTAAGTAACTTACTCAAGAACTAACTACCGAATCTCATTTCTTTAACCAATACTGGATTTCAGCATGGATTGCATGTGCTATATGCTTCTTGGGCTATCCAACTTATGTGTACTGGTTTATGAAATATAGCGAAGCAGTTCAGGTACCAGAAGAAAGCCTAGCCACTTTTTTCTGAAATTTGTTTATTTTCTGTCGAGATATCTTCATAAATGAATGTACTTCTTGGAGGTGTAGACGTCGTGTTGAGATCACAAGATAACAAAAAACCGTGGGAAGTATATGTTTTACGTTTCATACACAATCATAAGCGTATGTGTAAGAAATTACTATTGTAACTGTCAAGGATTTTCTTAAAATTGTCATCTCGGGTAATAAACTTATGTTTTGAAGAAAAAAAATAATTTGAATAATTAATGGTGTGCGAGTTATTTTACCAAAACGTGTAAGCCATAACATCAGTTGTAGCCGTTTCTCTTGTGTCATAAAACCTTTATGAGTAATTTTAAATGCTTGGCAAAATATGTTTTAATCTGTCTCTGTTTGGAAACAGTCAATTCAGATTAAGTAAACTTGTTTTTTTGTAAGTACTATTTTACAATAAATATTTTGTGAAGTGGTTTAAAGATATATTAATGCCACTGATAACAACTGGATCCTAGGCATTTCAAGCCTATTGTCATAACCCGGGAATGACACCAATATTCTGTCTTTAGCAAACAATGAAGTGAGAATTGGAACTAGTGGTGTTCAGTAAACCTGATTTCTTAGTTGGATATAGTTTTTCTTGGTGAGAAGAACCACAAGTTCAAATCCTGCTTGAACTTTTGTTTTTTCATGAAAATTCTATTTATGATAGACTTGAATGTAATTATGACAGAATTCTAAATTCCTATTCGCATGAATAGGCAAGGGAAAAGTGAATAAAAAAATTCCTAAGCCCCCCAGTGGCACAGTGGTATGTCTGCGGACTTACTACGCTAGAATCTGGATTTCGATACTCGTTGTGGGCAGAGCACAGATAGCCCATTGTGTAGCTATGTGCTTAATTACAAAAAAACAAAAATTCCTAAACACCTAGTTATTAAATGTTATTTTTAGACAGATCTTTCAAAATTTAAAGAGGGAATATTTGACTGTTTTATTTACTCTTAACCTGAGCAAATTGGGAGGGTCACTGTTGAAGTTCTGCTCTAATATTGATCAAATGTAACAGATATTAATATAACATTGCCACCTTGAAGTTGAGATGTGATAACTAAGTTTATTTGTTAAATTGTATAAGATATAATGGTGCTTTCTTCTTTCCAGTCTAGTTTACCTAGTTAAAGAACATGAATAGTTTTAAAAGTCAAACTGTGATCATGATATTTAATAAGTATCAGTAGTGATGGCCATATTGAACAACGAGTGCATTGTAAGTGCCAGCTGCACTGTGTAAGATTAGCACAAGATGCTATACGAGACATTTATCACAAGAGCTATTTGGGAACAAAACATGCAACCTACCATTTATAAAATGACCATTTACCTATCAAAAATTGATTTTAACTGTTAGTTGTACGACAGTTGTGCAAGTATAAGAACGAAGAAACTTGTGGTTTGAACAGTTAGTTACCCTTTTTTTAAAAATTGCTATTCCACGATCAATAAGGCAATCCAACGTGCTATGTTACCCCAAACATACAGCCTAATGTCTGTTACTTTTATAAATTTGATACCTGTTGTTAAGTGATATTTATGGATAAGTCAAATATCTAACTATTTTTATAACATCCTGAGAATGTGGTAACTTGTTACATTTCTTGCTTGTTTGGATCAAGAACAATCATTTTATACTTTAAAAGTCTGATCACCTTTTTGCTGGATCTTCATAAATACTGACTTAGATTTCATAACACTGCCAACAATTCTGAATTATTTTAAAACATTTCAGTTGTTCTGAATATTGATTTCAAATTTCTAGAAAGTGTTATAAACATCTGTCAGATAACACTTTGTAGTGTTATAAACATCTGTCAGATAACACTTTGTAGTGTTATAAACACCTGTCAGATAACACTTTGTAGTGTTATGAATATATGTCAGATAACACTGTATTAATATAAATGGCTATTTGATAACACTTTGTAGTGTTATAAACACCTGTCAGATAACACTTTGTAGT